GCCCTCATATGTGGGATCCAAACCGGGGCCCTCTGGCATCCCAAGCTAGCTCTTAACCAATGCGCCGCTCGGCCGGCCCCTGTTGTTGTTTTTAAATGGACCCTAAGTGTAATGCTGAAATACTGTCTAGAATATGCCTTACAGGGAAAATGTGTCAAACAGGCTTCATTCAGGCATAGGTTATTGTGCTGTTGGCCATGAGTTCAGTGTTACTGAATCAACAATATAAAACAAGGTGTGCTGTTAAACAGAAATCCACAAACAAGGTTATGTATTGATTCATTGATGAAAATGACCAGAGGCTTGTAGAAACCTAAACCTCTATTTCCCTAGGAGCAGAGTTTCAGTGTTTACTAATTCAGTGTCCGTGGTGACTTTATAGAACATAACTACTGTAAATAAGGAGAATCAACTGTATGCTATTCAGTGTTAACTGTCCTGTGACATTTTAGTCAACATTAGAATTCTTAGAATTAGCCTTCCAATCCTTTCAGTGTTAAGTCATTTTTAAGCAGCCTGGGAAGAGATGAATGAGGAAGTGGCATAATCCACTAAGGGAGGGGAGGGGAGACTGTATCTTTAATCGGTAACACCTATTTTGTAAACTTGATTTGGTGGACATTTTCTACCATATACAAAAGTAGAATAATAGTATAATAAAACCCCTGTAATGTTTACCATTTTATGGCCAGTCTTGTTTTACCTATATTCCTACCCTCAAGTATTTTGATACTCCTAAAAGATAAGGTCTGTTACACCGAAGAAAACACCAAAAAAATTTCTTAATATCATATATTATAGTATTTAAATTTCCCTGATTTTGTGATTTTGTTATTTATAAAGAAAACATTTTTTTTACTCAAATCCACATAGAATTGATATATTGGAATTGCTAGCTGGTTTGTAAATCAATTTTAATCTGAAAGCTCCCAGTCCCATCTTTTTTTTTTTGGTTGAAGAAAGGTTAGTTTTCCAGAGTATGAATTTTGCTGACTATATCCCCATAATGTTGGATGGTTAGATATTAGTACTAAAGGTTTCATAAGATTTGGGTCTCCCCCCTCCACACACACTACATAGGTGGTATTGAGATAATCTATTCTTAAAAGCTCAAAAATTTGAAAAATATAAGAAAACTGTGTAATGAAATGGTTTCCCATCCCAGTTCCTATCTACCCTGTTCCAAACACACCCACAGGTAACCATTGTTATTCAAGTTTCTAGTGAAGCCTTCCAGAGTTTTTTAATGTCTATTATAAGTAAATGTAAATACACATTTTCCCCTTTTGCTTATACAGAAGCAGCCTACTCTAAATAGCCACAAAGGATTCCATTGAATGAGTGGAATTGACTGGACTCTAACTCATACTGCAAAGCAGACTGTACTTACACCTTCTTCCATATTGGCACGTTCTTCTTTATTAGGATGAGATATAGTGTTGCTAGAAAAAGTCTGTGTATTTGTTCCCTGACAGGTTATTTGCTTTCCAAAGTGGAAGAAAAAGTCGGCTCTCCAGAACGCCCACTCTCAGATCTGGGGCTCATAAGCTATCGCAGTTACTGGAAAGAAGTGCTTCTTCGTTACTTGCATAATTTCCAAGGAAAAGAGATTTCTATCAAAGGTTGGTTTTTGACATGCTAGAATGGCTGTTACCTAGGATGTTAGCTCCTCTGAATGTTTTGACTTTTCCACTTGGCCCTGTTCATGCTTTGTAACCTGCAGAGATAATGCCCCATTCTGTGTTTTATCGGAATGAGAACAGAGGGCCCTCTGAATATGGGCCACTGCAGAGACCCTCACGAAAAGTGCCTACGGATTTCAGAGCATTGGGCTCTTGGCACTGGTCATATGATTTGGTTTCTCAAATCTCAGGTTGCTAACATTTTAACTCTTTAACAAAAGTCAAAAATGAAGAAAAACTTCTTCAAGTTTTGGCACACACAGGAACTTCAAAAACATCCCTGTATGTTATGCAAGGGTAGAGGAATTTAGTGACCTGTCTTTGACCTTGATTTCTATAAGGGGCCAAGAATGGTTTCTTGCTCTAATATCCCTCTTCCGTAGTTTATTTGGACTGGTCACATGAATGCTTTATAAACTTTCTGGACAGTTTATGTATCAGAGATTCTAACCATTTGAAGTTCATTTGGATTGGGGGGGTGGGGGGGTTGGGCGGGCTTGATAAAGGGGGTCTGCACTTTGGCGGGGTTCTCAGTAGCTCTTATGTTTCAGAAATTAGCCAGGAGACGGCTGTGAATCCTGTGGACATTGTTAGCACCCTGCAAGCTCTTCAGATGCTCAAGTATTGGAAAGGAAAACACCTAGTTTTAAAGAGACAGGTAACGTTTTTAATTAGCTCATTGCTGAATGTCCCTTGAGGCCTAGCAGAGCAAAGTAGGGCCCTCACACCCCAAAGGTAACCTTTTTAAAGGAGTGGACTCTGCACCATTTACTTGGTTTCATTTCTTTAGTCGTTAGGCTTATCCTCCTCCTTTATCCTTCTCAGATGCTTTTTGTAAGCTGTCTCAAATTTGGATGACACACTTAAGCGGCTCCAGTTAAGTAGCTTTATGTTGCACAGCACTTCTGTTACTTCATGATTTTGTTAGATGGAGAAAATTGCCCATCTGTAAAGGGGAATCTTCATAAACTCCAGGGTTCGTGGAACTAGTTTTGAATTCCTTTAACAAATACCATTTCAATTCATGCCATTTAAAAAAAATTTTTTTAGTTGACTCATACGTATCTTAAGGGGAGGTAAATGATTTTTCAGGTCTTACTAAGGGCATCGTAGGAAGAAATGGATTAGGGATGAATTTTTAAAATCTAAAGATAACTTCTTTATACCTATTTGAAACCTTAGTATATTATTAAACCTTTGGTGATTCCTTCTTTGCTAACAATCATTTTGGAATCCATTTATAAAGACATTTTACTTGAATGTGTATAATTCTTCCCATTGTTCTCCCCTAGGACCTGATTGATGAGTGGATAGCCAAAGAGGCCAAGAGATCCAACTCCAATAAAACCATGGATCCCAGCTGTTTAAAATGGACCCCTCCCAAGGGCACTTAAAGTGACCTGTTACTCTGAGCCAGCGAACCCCAGCAGTAGGAATCCGTACCCTAGGGATCTGTCTGTCATTTCTGTTGCTCTTGTGATTGGCAAGTACAGTATCCTTTGGGAAGGCCATCCCCCTCAGGACTGTCCTGGCTCCGACCTTCATGTACACTGCAGACGCTGGTTCTGAGGAACTGTTGTTTCGGCCTCAGTGAGGTTGCCCGGATGGGCTCTAGATTAGACTTGAGTGAAGGTCCCTCATAGCACTGACCCATGGTGTTCTGTTTGGTACTGTACCTGTCCAGTCACTGGTTCTCTCCTCATGTTCTCTAGCCCCATGAGATTGTGTTGTCTTCTAAACTTTGTAATAGTGCTTCTTCCCACCTGGTCACCAGACCTCCAAATACGGTTTCTGGGACCTTGCCAGTTGTTCCTTACATATGTTTTTTGGAGGGGCAGGGAAGAGGTAACACTTCTGAGTGTGTGTGCTGGGAAGGGTCTGTTCCCTTTAGGTTTCATCTCACTTTAAATTTTTTCCTCCGTTTTATTGAGAGACCTGTTTTAATCAGTATCAGGCTGACCAGAGCCAAATACATTTGAAGCCTCTCCCAGGAATTAGCCTTGGTAATGGCACATAATCTTTCTGGATGAGCTGGTCAGAAGAAGTAAGAGGTAGTGATTCTGTATTTTGCATTGAGTTCACCAGTGAGTAGTGGGCCTTGTCTTGGTGGAAGGGAATGAATACTTTTTGCCTCACCAGAAAGTGCCCAGTAGTAAATGTTTTCTTCTCTCATAACTCCCTGCCCCTTTTTACGTTTGCAGGTGCCAAAATAATTTCCAGTTCTCCCTTTCATGCTGCATGTTAACTTGGTTCATTAACTGCAGAAACCTGTTCAGCAGTACCAGTCTGCTCTAGCACACCTGTACTTCCACATAAGTTGCATTGGTTTTGTCTGAACATCCTTGGAGAAGTAGAAACTGATTGAAAATTACTTCCATATCTTGGCCCATGACTCAACAAGGCAGAATGGCCACTCTGCCAAGGTTTGCTTCTCTTCAACAGTGCCTCACCCTCCCTCTAAGACTAAAGTGCTTATGCCCTTCCAAGAACTCCTCCACTTCCTTTTTGGGATTTGCCGTTATCCCCCTCTTCTCTGGTCTCCTATTTTTGGTGTTTAAGTGAAGGAAGAGATGCTCCCTCTAATTTCTCTCTAGCCCATTATAACCTGCTATCTTGGGGCAGCTTTTGATGTATGACATGTCACCCTTCCCAACTTGGTCGTCTACAACACTGCTGTCTTCATGTGGAGCCCTCACCACAATCCCGACTCTGGTCATTTGTGCCTTTCTCTTGTCATCTCTGTACACTACTTATATTCACTGTGGGTTGGGGGGAGCTAATTTTAAGCATGTTCGGTGGCAGCTCCCTGCCAGTTTCAGTGTCACTGTTAAAATTGATCCAAAAGCAACTTCACGGGGTTTTCTTGAGGGGTAAAGGCCTTTTACAGAAGCTAACCCTTCCCCACATGTGGTAGAATGTGCTGTTCTATATCTACTCCTTAATAAAGCATGTTCTCTGCTCAAGTCTGTTTCACCCAGGAGCTCTCATTTATGTATGAAAATGGTGCAGCTGACCTGCTACTAATAGTAAATGCACTTGGGATCTGTTTTCTCTAGCAGTGAACTGACTGTTGAGGGATGTGGTTTGTGGCCGTAGAATTTTTTTTCTCTCTGTGATACAGGCTATCTATAGAGGGAGTGCTTACTCTGAACTTGTCTGGGTGATGGAATAAACTCTCTGCTTCACTTTGTTTCCAAATTATAGGTATGCATAGCAATGACTAGTCAGTATTATTCCTTCATAAAGCTCATTTCCTCTGATTTTTAAGGGCAAAGAAACCAGCAGGAAATTAGGATAGGTGGGGTGCAACTGATTCTTGTGGGAAGGTGGGAGTAGTTGTATCCCTTCTCATCTCCAAGCTCATTGGCCAGTAGTGAGCAGTACCACCTCTAATTGACTCTGAGGTTGAGTGATTTTTTCAAAGTAGCTGCAATTTCCTGTAGCGTTTACCCAGTGCAGGAAAAGGGAGGCCAGGCACTTAACCTGTATGATGGAAAGGAGGAGGGTGGAAATTGCATTTGCTGGGGTGGTTTTGTTCACCATGGCCAGTAGTGGTAACCTATCCCAGCAGATAGGGTCCTCTGCAGGGTTAGGGTCCTGTGTGTAACTTGGGGTGGGGGGAACAGCATGAGGAGAAGCTTATGGTTATATAAGAAGACCCTTCCTAACATTTGCCTTAGAATGATGTGTGCCCAGAGCTCCATGTTCTAGACATTTGCATCAAAGGGAAATTCGACTCTCTGCAACATTTTGAACAAATTGGGGGAGGTAAATTGACCATGAGAATGGAATGCTGTGAGAGGTTAAGGCACTTGAAGATTTGCACACCGTCTGGGTCCCAAGCCTCTACTGATAACCAATGCCTTTTCTTTCACCTAGAAGTATAGTACATCCTCATTTAATGTTGGCAGTAGGTTCTGCAACTAAGTGAAATGTTTAACGAAGCCAATTGTGCCATGGGTTAATGCATATCAACGAGTTAAGTTCCTATGGCGTCTCATTAAATAACGAAATGACCTTGAATAAAATGTTATTCAAGGACCTGCTGTAAAAGGAAGGTTTCTCTGGTTTAAGTCACAGGTGTAAGAACAGAGTTACACTTTCTTGGCTACTTTCAGTAAGACTGTCTATCCCCTCTGAATTTTTTACTTGCACAAAAGAAGCTCAGCTGCTTAGGATCCTTCATTAGAAGAGCAAAAGTCAGGAGTTAATCCTGGATCTAGCTCCTGAAACCCTCTAAAGAAAGCACTTACTCTGTGGAGGAAGAAGAGCCCTAGCATGTGCTGACTGCTTTCTGTGTGCTTGGCACTGTGCTGAGTACCTTCACACTGCCTCATTTGACCCTCCTGTTAGCCCCGTGCAGTAGAAATTCACACTGGTTCTACAGAAGGAAACCTGGAGCTCAAGGTGACAGCACGCAGCCATGTCTGATTTTGTTATAACATGAGAACCCACACTCTCCCATCTACCATTTGCTTCCTCGTTTTTCTTTAATTCCTTAATGATTAATCATCCTCTCTGTTCTAGTTAGATCTCCTTGCCTCAGCCACAGGCCCCCATGCTTCTAGTGGCTTCCATTGTAAAACGTGAAACTGGTGAAAGCTTTCAGACAAAATTGATTTTATAAGCAGCAGACGGGGGCCAGAGACCTCAGCTGGGAAGTCGAGTTGTGTCTTGTTCTGGCTCTTCCGATTCAGGAGTAAACTGTTTAGTAAGCACTGTCCCCTTACGTGGTTTCCTTCACATCCGTGCCACACCACCACTGTAAGGTGGGTATTATATCCCTTTTCCACATGAGAGAATTTGAGGCTCAGAGGTCTTGCTGCTGGGTTACAGAAACAGTGAGAGCCCACTTCTCTGATGCCAAATCCCATACTTTTTTGACAGTGCTTTGGTGAGTCATCCAATGCCTTGGCCTGTTTTTCCATTTCTCACCAGGGAATAGTGAGTCATTAAGTAATTTTTAACAATATGGTATACCCTTTATATAGCAAGACGATGCTTTTGACTTGTCCTCGGCTTTGGTTTGTCCCTGTAGTTCTGGGCAGGATGCCCGCCTGGGGTTGGGAATGGCCTCAAAGTTCATGTGAAGCCAGTAGGTTCAGAACAAGGTTGGGACTACATAAGAAAAGCCAGTATAGAAAAATAGACAGCAGCTTGCTTACAGTACACATTCCTTCTGGAATATGAGATGAATGAAAAGGAGCTTTTTGGATGTACATTAGTAACTTTTCAAGGGTAGTCATAAACATGCCTGCCTTCTGCAGAGCAGTTGATAAATGACTAAAGAAGCATCATTTTTATGAGGCGTTAGGATCACGCAGCATAGCTCACCAGTGATCCTTGAGTTTTTTTTTCTTCTGACAATCTAAACATCAGGTCTTTTTTTTTTTTTTTAGCTAGGCCATCCTGCCACCCGTTGGCAGCTCAGCTCGGGCTAGGAATCGAACCGCTGTTGCTCAGAGCTCACACTCTTAAGCGAGCTCTTAACCAGCTGAGCCACTCTGCCAGCTCAGCGGGTCTATTTTTTTTTTTATGCACATAATGGAAATAAGCACACATTTGTCTACAGTTGAAAAATTGAACCCTTAAAATCCATTCCTGGAGTGGAGTTAATAAACTCTGGTTTGAGAAAGCTCCAGCGAGAAAGCAGGAATCCTGCCTTCTGCCTGCCCTCTGTCACAGCTAGCTCTGTGTGTGCGCGCGCGCGCGGGCTCAGAGAACCCCCCATGGAGGGAGGGAGAGTGACAGCTAGGGAGACCAGGCTCACCTTGCCCCTCAAAGTTCCTTTCCTTCTTCGTGGCCTCACAGGTGCACATATGTGCAAAATACTGGACTGGGTTTTGGGGTAAGAAAGTGAAAATTCTTTTGCTAAATATGTGAAGTATGCTAGGAATTCTAGAAAGTGCCTTTGGCTATGCATTGGGATCATGGAATTACAGAATTGGATCTCCACTGGTTTTAATTTCAGCACTTTGTGCTACAAACTTGTAGGACAGCCTCTTCCAGACCGTTTCCTGCTGTTGGGGGCAGGATAATTGCCCACTTCCTTTGTGGTCTCTTCAACAAAGTGTCAATAAATGTCACTAAGAAGGAAACAAAGGACTGCCCAGTGATGAATAATGTGCCTGCCTGGTGCTGAAATATCAGCTCATCTTTGTCTTGTGCAATACCTTTAGATGTAAGTCATGCGGCCACCATTTCAGGGTTTGGGGTTTGGTTTGTGCCCAGAGGAGAACATAACCTGTGCTATTGTGCAACTTTGACTTCGTTGCTCCTCACATGCTCTATGTGAGGTATTCTAGACAAGTCACGTTCATTCCAAGAAGCCCGTCTTCTTGACTGGGTGTTTGTATCTGGGAATAGCTCACCTTCTATTTACTCTGTTTCAAAGTTATTAGAAACCTACACTCTTTTCTCACCAAAAAAAAAAAAGGTGTGGTTGTGGTGGATCATCTCCAGAGATGACCGCCAGCAGTTTGTCTCATCACTGGACATGTGCACTGCTCCTTCCCATAAGGTCTGTTTTTCATTCTTTTGTGTGGGCTGGACTTTGACTAATTGAATGTGGCAGAAGTAATATTCTGGCAGCTTCCACTTTTGCTTTTGAAAACCCAGCTGAAACGTTTCCAAACCAGAAGCTTGAACTCAACTGAGTGTATTTTTGTGAGGGGCCGGATAGGAGAGGCCAGGTGTAGGAGAACCGAGATGCTCCAGCCCGTAGCACCAAAAACCCAACCGTTACGCTCCCAGCCGAATGCAGCCTCCTTGAGTGACCCCTGCTGATACCACATGAAATCAAAGAAACGTCCAGCAGAGTCTTGCCAACCTAGAGAGTCATGAGAAATCATTGGTTTTAAGCCATTGTTTTAGGATGGTTTGATACACAACAGTGAGTAAGTGAAACTAAAGGGCTGGAATTTGGTTTGGCCTTGTAGGTCCCATTAATCGATTTCCTGTGACTGGGAACCAGATGTGCCCAGAGGAGGGCCACCACCTTGTGTAGCTCCACCGTCCGCGTTCTATATAATGGCAACTTCATAGCCAGCTCAACCCGTTTTGTTGTTCAGCACCTCTCAGCTTGTCAGTCATTGCTTCTGAGGTCCCTGCCTGGCCTTGGAATTCTTACGGAGGTAGATCAGGAAAAGTGAGGATTGTGCTATATAAAGTGACATGGCTCATCACTTTCCTGCTTAAGAATTCCTCTGGCTTCCCAGTTCATTGGATTAAGTTCACATTTGTTCTGGCTTTCCCGTCTTTCCATAAACTGACTCAAACTACATACCTTTCATCATTCCCCCACATAGAAGCCTCCCCTTCCCTATTTCTATTGGGAGAGCCTTCCTTCTCCATTCCCTAAAGTGTGTCCCATTAAACACAAAGTATGGGCTAAAAGGGTTCTGGGAAAACACCGAGTCTGAGTATCGTATCAGTATGTTTCTTGACTCAGGGTTTTTCACAGTCTTCCTTGGAATTTCCAGGATGGAGACAGAGTAACATTTCCTCAAGTGGGTTGTTCTGGAAGGTGCTTCTTGAGAGACCAGTACGCTGTGGGGGGCAGACACTGGGAAGTTTCTTTCCTGTCTATTCAAATAGGCCCAGCTAAAAAGGGATTCCTTGTGAACTCTTTCGTAATCCCCCCCTGGGACTGGTCTGTATGATGATGGCATAGACCAGGTAAGCGGAGGGGCTGAGGGCAGTGAAGGTGCTTGGCTCACATCCCGTCGCTCCCGTTTTCTGTGTAGCTTGAAGCATCTGCAGAATGAGGAAAGGAATTGTGAAGGTAGATTATCTTGCTGGATGCCTGGTGTGGATGTTTTTTTTCATGGAGGATCTGGGAGCTGGGTATTAGTGGTGCACAAACTGGAATTTGCAGTCTCCTGGAGGAGACTCTGATGACTAATTGTGATCAGTACTATGAATGGAAAAGGATGAGAGATAAGTTAAGTATAACTGGAGGGAACTAGTTGAGCCTGGTTATCAAGGAAACCCTGTCAGGAAGGGCCTTTATTCTGGAACCTGAAAGATGAGTTAGCCAAGGGAGGAGTGGAGGGATGGAAGGGCTGGGGCAGTGTTCAGACAGGAGCGCCTGAGGCAGGTGTGGTGTGCCTGAGGGCCTGAGAGCCTGGTGATGGTGAAGCAGTTGAGGGGGAAGGGCCAGAGAGCACGGGGCCTTGGAGGCCTCCACAAGAATGGAGGGTTTATCCTAGGAAACCATGAACTGGCCAGTAGGGGGTAGAATGGGACATGGTCTGATTTCCCATTTTAAAAGGCCATGCTCTGGGTAGAGAAGGAAACAAGGAGGGGTCTGTAAGGAAGCTGCTGTCCTCTAGGCAATGGGTGAGAGTGGCTTGTATTAATGGTGGTAGGGAAGGTGGGTGGCAAGAAGATGAATTTGAGATTTTGGAAGAACCAACAACTAGGATCTATTAGATGTGGAGAGTGAGGAATACAGGGGTAATCCCCAGGTTTCTGGCTTGGGCAGCTGGGTACATGGAGGTGCTTTTTGTAAGACAGGAGGAGCTTTGAGGCAGTAGGTTGAGTTCAGTGTTTGGGAATGTTTGAGAACTACGGAATATATGTTCAATAAGTGGTAGCTGCTATTATTTATTTCAGTTGTATTAAGTTTGGCTCCTTCATGGCTTTCTAAAAGAGATAGACTCCTTGAGGACAGGAAATGTGAGTCCTTTGTCAAAACAGATGCCAAGCACTATTGTTGGCGCTGGGGTAAAGATACCATGTGATTTGTGTACCTGAGAAACCCTTTTGAGGAGATAAACCATTCTAACAGCAGCATATATTAAGTTCTGTTTATGGAAAAATGTGCAAGGTGCTTCAGAAACTTGGAGAAGGGAGCCAGTGGTTGCTTCCTGAGCCGGGGACGCTATACAGAGACATTGACTTCTGAGTAAGAATGCACCAGAGTGGGAAGAAAACGTGGTGCATTTGAGGATGATTGGAGAGCAGGTGTGGCCTTTGCACACAGTCCACCTCAACTCCCCTCCAAGGTTGTTAGTTGTTCAAGGGCAAATCCCAGCCTCATATTTTTTCCCTATTCCCAGTCCGATGTGAATTCCCAGTGAAGTGCTGGCATATACGCGTACAGTGAACTTATTAGATCTTTTGTGAATTTAGTTTTTCCTAAATGTCCCAAACTTCAAACACAGGAATAAAATCTTGACCCCTCTTTGCTGAGCCTTCCAGTCGGGTTATTAGTGAACCACCTGTTGGGGCCGACCACAGCACTGGGTGGGGTGAGGTGGGGGAGACAGCAGGAATGACTGGTGTGTCAGGAGGTCAGGAGTGGATGGAATGAGAAATTCATTAACGGGGAAGTTCTGCAGTGGTGTCAGAAGAGGCCTTGTACATTCTCACTGGATACGGGTTTGGTGAGAATGAAGAGGCCTGAGGTTTATTCAGGGCTTGGCGATAGCCTGTCTTAAGAGAGACTGTTGAACCACTGGTCTAATATTGTCAGAAAAGTCCTGACGTATTTTTTATATGTTTTTTGTTGCAAAAATGCGTCATGACTTTGCTGACAACCCAATAGAAGGATCTTGCTGGTTGGGTCGGCACTGACCTCTCCTTTGAGGCCTCTGCTGTCTACAACCCCTGACACCAGATGAAGGGCCTGCCCTCTCCACCAAGGCCTTCCCCGTCTTCCCTTCCTTGTAAACAGCTTAGGTCCCCTCCCCTCCAAAAAAAATCAGACACCCCCAGCACTTCTAACCCATTTCCTTTTTGGGGCGAGAGGTACAGAGAAGTGTTACATAACCTAGTGAGTTAATGAACTTCAATGCTGAACCCACAAAGCTCCCATTTCATTCCTTTCAAAACCTTGATTTTTTTTACCTAAGTGTGCCCTCTAGGGCTTCATTCTGGCTGTGCCTCTTTCTAAGCATCCTGGGTCCTCTGTGCCCTGCCTGCCTATAAACCACTGGAGCGGGGACAGTGGTCTCCCCAGCAGACTGGGGGTTCCCTGAGGGTGGGAACTTGAATTCCTTTGGAGCTCTCCCCAGTGCCCAAGAATGACTGGCTGTCCCAGAAGCAAAGCCATTTGCCTTATGCATGAAAATTGAAGCATCTGGGACCCAATTCTATTTGGATCCTTGAGATCATGATTGTGGGTAGGAAAAGGGTGTCTGCTTTCAGGCTGGGACTGGTGTCCTTAGCTATGTCCCAAGCCTGTTTTCCCACCCAAGGGTAGGGACCAGGGCTGTTTAGTATTTCCCCTTGGCAATTCTGGAAAAGGCCTGGTCTGCTAACATGCCAAACCATGGCATGTCCTGCCCTCTACCCTGTATCAGAGAAGACGCTATTCACGATTCATTCATTTATTGAGCCCCTACTGTGTTCTGGGCACAGGTGATAGAGAAGTGGGTGAGACTCAATCCTGCTATGCAGTGAAATAAAAGAGCCCTGAGTGCCTTGGGAGGGCAAGGTCACCACCCCAGCTTGCGAATGGGACAACAGTGCACATTTATGGACAACCGCTGCTTGAGACCCAGAGTCCTGGAAGGAACCCCACTGTGTTCAGTGTGGGCCTGGTGGGACACCCCAATGCTGAGCACAGGACACATGGAGAAGAGTTGGCCTGGCCGACTGGCCAGCTGTAACATCCAGGTATGGAGAAGGGGTTTCATCCTCTGGGAAGTGTGCTGTGGGGGCTCTCACTCTGACCCGTGGTCCTCATCCGCTCTCCCTGAGAAAAGGACATGGATGGTGGTTAGGAGAGCCTTGCCTGGCTCCTCCGCCCATTGGAAACCTTCCCTCGTCACCCACTCAAGGGCCCTCCGTTTCCCTGACTCATGTTTCTCTGACTGTAGATATCTAGGACAATCAAATTACAGGCTCATCTGCCATATCTTCCATTATTCAATCGTGCACACCTCCAGAGCATGGACAGGGCCAACCCTCAGTTATTCTCTAAAGGAAGGGAAGTGGTAATCCAGGATTCAAAATCCCAAAAGCCCTCCTGGGAATGTGGAAAGTACCGTGGACTAGGAAACAGGAGACAGCTTTTAGTCCTGGCTCTGTTAGCGCACTGACTGGGCAAGTTGCTTTTCATCTCTGAAAAATGACTTCTAAGCTTCCTGTCCACACTGCATGGAGGGACATTTCCATTTTGGTACTGGGGTGACTGCCATGGTCCCTCAAATGGAATGGCTCAAACACTTTGGAAAAACTCCCGGGAGAAAATAGAGGACTTGCCCTTTATTCCCAAGAGCCTATGTTGGAAGGAGTAGGTGTTCTATCAGGAAAATGAGGGGCGGGGGCCAAAGTTTGCAGCTCCGTGGGAAGGCAGACTGGAGCTCAGGATCTCTGACAGGCTGGGACGCCCGCCCCCCACCTCCTATGCCCCCCTTCCTCGTGTTGGCTGGCTTGAGCTTTTGACATTTTCCCCATGGACCCTATTTGAGGTGTGGTGTTGGCTGATAACTGCTTGGGGTGTTACTCTTCCTGGGCGGTTTTCACTTCTTTACGATTACTGAAGACAGAAAATAAAAAACTAAAGGCACGACTTTCTAATGAGAGGGAATAAGGGGGGTGCTCCAGGATCTGGAAAACCTCATTATCTGTGGCTTCAGCTGGCCCGGAGAGGGGAGCAGAGTGTACCTGGGGGTGTGAGGGATGGAGAGGGTGCAGTTGCAGGGCTGCAGCTGTTTAAGGCTTGGATCATCAAAAGGACCACTTCCCTGTACCTCGACTGCTTTCTTCTGTGGGGCCTCTGCCTGCTGTCTGGCCCCCATCCTGGAGACTGGCAGCAAAGTACCTGGGCACTTTCTCATGATGCCCTTGCCGTCCACTAGATGCTCCCATCTATGTTCTGTAGGTGGTCCTCTCCCCTGCAAGAGGTCTGGGACCTTCTGTCCTCACTGATGCCCCAGTGATGGAGAGAGAGCAAAGAAAGTGAGTGCAGCAGAGGAAGGCTGTCTTAGGAACCAAGAAGGGCAGGGATGGGCCAGAACTGGGACTGTGTTGGGGATACAGAGGAGATGGCAGACCTGTGGGGTCCCACTGTGGGGACCCCAGCCATGTGACCGGCCCAGCTGGACAGTGCAGTGCCAAGGTGAGCATCATGCCCAGGCCATGGACACAAGCTCCATCCAGGTAGGGCAGGCGGTCAGGAAAGGAGGGCAGCCTGGGAGGATGTGGTAAGTCCTTAGAACATTGGACTTGATCCTGAGAACACCGGGAGCGAGCCGGGGTGGGGGTAAAGTAAAGGTTGGTTGGTTTTCTTTTGGTTTTTCTCTTTTCACCAAAGGATTTTAGGCAGGGTACTGGCTGCTCAGATTTGTACTTTTAAGAGCCTTGAGGATGCAAGGCAGGGAATGGATTGATTGGTTTTTCCAATTCCAGGCATTAGACCCAGGGTAATTTTAAACTTTGGGCAGAACTGGATTTATCCCTGCACCTGATTCCTAGTCATGCAAAGACACCCCCCCCCCCTTTCTGAGGAAGCAACCAGGAAGCCAAGCGAATGGCCAAACCACACTGGCCCCACCCTCAGCAATGCCAGCCTGGCGTGTGTGCCCCTGGCCAGAGCTGCTCCCCCGACCTCCCTGACTTCGTGGCCAGGACACCTCAGCCCTCCCCAGGGAGCATGCCATGGGGAAGGTTTGGACAACACTTACCCGCTTTTCTCTCTGGCTGGATAGGAGGTATTCCTGGGAGAAAGAAAGAAGGAATGAGGGCTGCACCACTTCCTTGGGGGCTAGGTGAGCCGGGAAGGGCTTATGGCTCTTTGGGGTTCGATGCCTGTGGTGGATCTTCAGTGACACTCCAGGCATTCCGCATTGTCCTCGTGTGACTGAGCCACTTGGCTGCTCCTACTAGGAGGCAGGGTGGGGTGGGACATCATTGGCACCTGGCACCAGCTGGGCATCCTGGGGAAAGCATTTAACCTATCTGAACCTTAGTTTCCCTGCTGGTGGTGAAGGGGATATTGTGAGATTTAATCACATGTGAGCATAGTAGGTGCCCAATAAATATTTCTCTTACACCCTCATCCCCTGCTTATGGGTTGTTGGATTTGGACGAGAACTCTGAAATGGCCCAGTTCAAAACTCTAAGGCCAAAAGAGTTTGGTCACAAGTTGGTCTTCTCTGGTTTTATATGCATATACAAGTGCACTATAAAAACAAGTCATGTAGAGGCTTGTACAGTAAAAATTAAAGTCCCTCTTTAGTCTGTCCCTCACCTCCACCTCCTATCCTAGATGTAACCACTGTTGACAGTTTGATATTTATCCTTCTAGAACTTTTCCTGTGCATTTGTATGTATATGTAAGTATGTTGTTTTTTTAAACGAGTAGGTTCCTAGCATACATATTATTATATAACTTGCTTCCCCACCTAACCAATATCTTGGAGATTTTTCCATATCTTTCCATAGAGCTGCCTCATCCTTTCTAACAGCCACAAAGGCTATGGATGCACCGAATATATTTTGACCATTTATTTCCCTGGTGATGGTTTTTATGTTCTTTCCAAATTCTTGCTATTACAGACAAGTTGGCAATGAACAGTCTGGTACAAATATCTCAGGTTTCGTGTATCAACAACATTTCCATTTGATAGGTTCCCTGAAGTGAGACTTGGTCAAAAGGTATGCACATTTCCAACTTTGATGGCCATTGTCAACTTGTCCTCCAAATAGGGTATAAAAGTGCCAAGTCCTTCCTATCCTCACTTAAAAAAAAAAAAAAATATATATATATATATATATATATATATATATATATATATATAAATAATGTTGACAGTAAGAAAGAGACAACTGCTCTCTGTCTGGACTATGTTCTCCTTCTTCCCCTAGGACGTGACTCCTGCATTGAGCGTGCCCCCAGGGAACACAGTTTCATTTTAATCATTCTATTTGAAACAAACAAAATCAACTAGAAAGCTTGGTCTGTGGCTTCGCTCACATCTAGACGCTGCTCTGTAGCCACTCCCACTCTCCAAAGTCATCCGTAGTATTGAAGGTAAGGGCACCAGCGGGTGCAAAGCATTTGCCCCCACCCTTACTTAGGGTGACCATACTCCCCATATTCCAGAGACAGCCCTGGTTTACACCTGTTGCCAGACGTAATTAACACTCTCCAATGTGTTCTGGTTTGGATGATCATTTATATGGGCACCCTCTCCACCCCACTGCACGAGTGAGCCCCGCTGGCCTGGAGAAATGAATGGACTCTGAGTCCTGGGCTTTAAACTAGGGCCCCTGCTTGGTGTCACAGAACCACTGTGGGCTGGGCACCCGCCTACCTTTGTCACTCACCTCCTACCTGTTTCCCCATCAGCCCAAAGAACTGGCTCGCTTTGCCCCTCTTCACCTCCTGAAGCTGGAGCTGAATGCTGGGGACCACACCTTCCTGAAGAAGCAGAGAGAGTTCCTTAGAGTTAGAGTTGGGGGAAGGCTGGCGAGGAGATAGGGAGGGCGGCCTGAGCCAGAACAGCCTCGACAGCACTTGCTCTGTGCTGGCACTGGGTCCTTTTGCATATTTTACACAATACTGTGTACAGTAATAATAGCTAACATTTCACCTACTATGTTCCTGGTAGTATTCTTAGCACTTTATTCATTTCATCCTCACCAAAACCCCATGAAGTAAGTCCTATTACTGTCAGCATTTTATAGACGAAAACACCGAGGCACAGAGAGATTAAATAATTTGTCCAAGGTCACCAGCTAGGAAATGAGAGATGGAGCCAGAACTTGAACCCAGGTCATCTGGCTCAAAGGCTCAAACACAATAGTCATAACCTCATTTACTCTTTACAATCACCCTATGAAGTAGGGACTGTGAGTTATCCCTACTTTACAGATAAGGAAACTGAGACTTAAGGAGGTCTAGAGGCTTGTCCAAGGCCACACAGGAAGTGGCAGGACCAGGATTGCAACTCAGGAAGTCTGACTCCAGAGCTTGGGTTCTGCTGCATCTTGGGAAATGTCTCCACTATAGACAAGAAGGGGGCAGCGGGTGGACTCAGGGTGGCACCCAGTAGGCAAGGTGACACTGCTTCCTCCTCAGCCCCACTCTGACTCTGCTCTCCTCCCCTCCCCCAGCATTCCCCCCATTGTCTCAGATTTACCCTGCTCTAAAGCCCGGGCCTCCCAGGAGGGACATGGCATGTGGCCTGGGGTCAAGGCCACTACCCTAGGCAAAGACATGTTCATCCTTGAGCTGATCCGAAAGTTCTGGTCCAAGAGCTATGGATTTTCTCATTCCTCCATTAGCCTTTGTGACCTTGGCCAAAGTACCCTCCCTCCCTGGCCTTAACCGGAGTTCCTGAAGAAGGGTCCACTCAGCTCTGCTGAGAGGGAGAGAGGCTTCCTGGTGGAGAGAGTGACAGTGGGCGACAGTTATTAGACCGTCTTCACCTCTCTGCATTCCCAGTACCTGGCACAGAGTCTGACATACACAGGCGCTCAGCACATGTGGGATATCCGGGGCCCTTTCTCTGACAGTCTGGGAAGAGGGAAGAAGATGGGGTCTCCTTTTCCAGGGAGGCTGAAGACAGGCAAACAGAGCTCCAGAGGAACAAAGCTGTCTGCCAGGAGGCTGGGAGCTGGGGTGGGGTCAGGGCTCCCTCTCCCATCCCCAGTTCCCCCAGGGGCAGCGCTGTAGCTCTGGGGACCAGCAGGGACTTGGCTGGGGTGCAGAGGAAACCCCTATGTCTCTTACAGTTCATCCCATACCAACTTCTGGGACCAGAAGTGAATTGTTTTCTAAGCCTTGGACTAATAACAGTCCCTTCCAATCTGTCTTCCCCCCAAGACGTCAGTGGCTGGGGCAGCTGTCTCAGGCTGCAGTCGCCTAGGCTGGCCACGAACCAGAAAAGTCTCTGGAGATTTGGGCCCATTTCTGAAAAGCTCATGAAAACCACTTTGGCTTGGTAAAAGGCAGCCTTCAAAAGCAAGCTGGAGAGAATGGCTATTTATAAAATAAGACTCACCCTTCTCCCGCCCACTGGGTTTCTGGGGGTCCGTTAGGAGGCATCCTTCCCTTCCACTCAGGAAGAACTCCTGCCCCCACCTGCAGCCCTCTCCTTATCCATTTAACCCAAATCCCCCGCTCCAGGGATACGTGCAGGTGGGGAGCCCCGAGAGCTAGGGAGGTGATCAAACCATCCCTGACAGTGCCACCATCCCTTCTGTCACCTCACTCATATTAATGGTTCCTGTATTCCAAGCCCTGTGTCTCGGAAAGCAGCAGGATGTTATTGTGAATGAGAGTGAAAGGAGAATAAGTAGACGCACCTACAGGGTGAGGTACTTGCAGGTGGAAAGCCCAGCAGCACCATTTGAAGTTGATGCTTTTCCTGTGTGGCTGCGTAGAAAGCTCCCCCTCACAGATTTGTTTTCCTGTGCCTGGGCCAGGTCCCCTGACTCCACAAAACTTTAAAAATATTCTGGGAACCATCTCCCCTCCTCCCCACCCGCCATGTTACAGGTGTGGAAACTGATGTCCAGAAAGTAGCTGTGACCTTTCCAAGGTCACATGGAGTCAATGGAGAAGTTGAGATTTGAACCCGGGTCTCCCCATCCTGCTGTCTTCTCAACTGCACGCATTTCCACATTCAGACAAACCAGGAAGGGAACCCACCACGGATGGCTTTTCCTTCGATGGCTGTACCTGTGACCCCAGGGTCCTCACCATCCTGGGACTGGGAGTAACCAGATTCAGCTTTATCCCACTGTCTGCTCTCCTGGAAGCTTTCTGGAGCACTGGTCCTGCTACCTCTGGTCTGTTGGCCTCTCCCCCTTGTCTGATTAAAAGCTCCCCAAGGTCAGGACCTTTGTCTCTCCGAGAAGATGGGATGGGGCGCAGATGCTGGGCCTCTAACTTCTAGATTTCTCCCCAAGTGACAGCACTCAGGTCAGTCTAATAGAAGAGACTGGTAATTAAACCAGTACTTGTCAGGAAATGAGTTTCTACATGTGAGACAAAACATTGATCCTGCCCCAAGTTGACCCCCATGAAATTCTGGAAAATGTCCTCTGATGCACAGGTACATACAGTCAGACCTTGGGCAGGGTAGGCAGCTGTGGTTTTGAAGCAGCATAACCTTGGACAAACTAGTTGACTTCTCTGTGCCTCACTTTCCTTATCTGTGAAATGGGACTACTAATGGTACCTTCCCCACAAGGTTGATATGAGGATTAAATGGGTGAATGTTTATAAATCATTTAGGACATATTGTATGTTAAATAAATATTAAATAAAAACTCTCCCTCTCTCTCCCACTCTCGCTCACTCTCCCTTTCACTCTCTCACTCACTGTCTCACTCCCATGTGCCCCTTTGGAGTTCAGTCAGGCCAGGGGCCATGGCCTTGAACCTACCTACAGAGGGGAGTCACACAGCCTGCCTTGCAGTGTACAGCCTGCTCTCCTGGCAGCCACAGAAGGGATCTTCAGCCCCCTTGACCGACCATGGCTCATCCCCTGCCTCTCCCCAAAGTTACCTCCAGGGTCATGGTTACCAAAGACCCTGCTTCAGTGCTGAGTGCCCGTTCCTCGTCACCTGCCGCAGTGCATGCAGACAGCCCCATCAGGAGAAGCAGGGTGAGGCAGCACAGCATAGTGAGTGCTGCTCTGTGCTGGGACCCTCTGGGAGTCCCTCTCAGCCTGACGACTCTGCCTCCAGCAAGCCCAGTCCTCCCTCTGGCTCCTTTCCTGTAGGTGAGGGAAGCTCCACCTGTTCTCTGTCCTTCCAGCTACTCCACTTCTTCCTCCAGCTTATCTAACCCTCCCCCCTCCCCCACCCTGGGACATTTCCTGTGACTCCCCACCCTCCCTGGTTGGATAGGCCGATAATATCAGGATGCCCAGAGGAGGAACCTGACCTCTCCCACCCACCGCCCCCTCAGCACTTGATCCCAGGGCTTAGTGCTCTGATGCAACAGCTGCCTCACCTTTGGCTGCATTCTCTCCAGTGGCAGGTGCACAATGGGGCAGTGTGTGGCATCTGGCGCTTACAGCTTCCTGGCTGGAAGCCCCAGGGGCCGTTGTCATCCTGGGAATAGGGAGAGGGACTGTGGCACCTCCCTTGTACTCTGTCTTATCCCCTATAAGAGGCCTTTCTCCAGAACCTAGCCAGTATTCCATCACTGTCTCCCCTTCCCGTCACTGAGCCCTCCTTGCTCAGCATTCCCCTCTATCAGTAATTCCCATTTCTGCCTAGAAAACAGGTCTTGACCTAGGAGGAGTAACTTCTGAGGCTCCTCACAAGTGGGAATTGGGATCTGCCAGAAAAATGGCTTCCTGCTTAAGTGTCAGCTCTAAATATCACCCCACTGTTGCCAAAGCGATCTTTCTAAAGCCCTAATCTGTTCTGTTTCTCCTTGCTTACAGCTTCCCAACCTCTCCCCTTGCCCTTGGCATAAAGTTCAAGCTCCCTAAGATGGCATTCAAGGCCCTTCTTCACTTAGTTCCTCCCTGTCTCCCATTTACCCACCCACCCACCCATCCATCCATCTATCCATCAGTGTAGAACAAGGATCCTGAGGTCAGAGACCTGAATTCCACTCCTAGCCCCACCACTAAATAGCTATGTGACCTCAGGCACATTACTTAGCCCCTCCAAGCCTTAGAATCCCTACCTGTAAAACAGGATTAATAATAGCACTTATTTCCAAAGTTGTTTGAGGATGAAATGAGATAATGCATGTGGGGCACTTAGCACAGTGTGTGATAGTAAATATTTAATACCCGTTAACTATTAATACTGTTATAATTATTGACATTGGGTGAGGCACTGGGCCACAGAAGATGAATAACTTGCCATCTCTGTCCTACAGCATCTCACAGTCCAGGAGAGAAGACCTCTGGTTGGCAGATAAGCTGTGTTCAGCCATTGCAAGGGAATGGCATACCCCCTTCCCAGTCTGCCCTGAAGCCATTCCCCGTGCGCGCGCGCACACACGCACACACGCTGTATCCCCTGCTCCCAGGAAAGGCTGCGATTTCTCCTATGCTTTGGCCTTGGCTGTTGCCTCTGCCTGGACCTCCCTTTCTACCTGGTGAACTCCCACCCATCCTTCAAGGTCCAGCTTAATGGTCACCTCCTCAGTAGATTTTTTTCTGTCTCTATTCCTAACTCAAGCAAGAATGATTTGGCTCCTTTCCTGGCCTTTCCCAGTATCTCCCACTTACATCTTTTGCAGTTCTGGGATATAAGCCATCTATCTGCACAGGCTGCAGCGAGAGGATGTGCGTGCAGGTTGTGTCCAGCACAGAGGAAGCTGCCGAGGGGGTGAATGGAGGGAAACCCAGCTTTTCCTCTGCTCACTGAGCACAGCCTGGTACCAGGCTACACAGCCCTGAAAGAAGGTGCTTTGCTCTGTTTTTCCCCAGAGGAGCCAGCTGGGCTGAGGGCAGCCCTGCTAGTCTGCCATGTGGTAGTTGATGATGCCGTGAGCTCTCTGAGAGTGGGGCTGGCATACGTGTGTGCTGGGCACACAGTAGGTCCTTAAGAAATCTGCAGCTACTTTGAGTCCAGGCCAGTGAAGGCAGAAAAGAATAAGGGCAAGTGTGGAGGTTTGGGGGAAGACAGCCCCCCACACACACACCACTTCCACCCCCTTCCAGGAATCTCTTTGGTGGACCCTAAACGATGGCTTCAGAATACCTGCATGTGCTAAAATGCAGATTCCCGGGATCAGCCCTAGTCGACACAGCCAGCCCTGGTCTGGGAGTCTGACTCAACACTCTAGGTGGCAGTCGCTCAGCCTCCCACTGAACTTACCAAGGGCAGGGCGTTTAAAACCTCACATTCCACTTCGGGTCTCCACTGTTGTTAACAAGTTCTTCCGTACAGGGAACAATTTTGCTTTTCATCCCCTTCATTTTATGGATGTGAAAACTGAGGCGGGTTGGGGCTTGCTCTAGGTTACACCGAGAATTTGGCGAGCATCTGGGACTCCCAGTCTGCTGCTTTCCACTGCCCACTGCGGCCTCAGCCCGCAAGGGCAAGCAACACAGGGCTGGAGGCAGAGTAACAGCATGGGCCTCTCTGCGCGCGGGGGGTGGGAGGATGGGGGTGGTGGTGGAGGGTGAGGCGACTTCCCATTCTGCAGGTGCAAACGGGGTGACCTTAGGACGTAAGGAGCCTCTCTGTGCCTCAGTTTCTCCATCTGCAAATTGGAGCCGCCCCTCATTGGGTGGTGGTAACGATATCATGAAATCCCATCCTTAAAGAGCTCAGCACAGGGTGTAGTATGCTCTCAATTAATCCTAACTTCGTTTTTGTGATTATTGGATCTCTGGAACCCTGGACCTCCGTCGGCGCCCGTCTCCTAGCCCCGGCTGATCTCCCCGCCCTGTCAGCGCAGGAACCATCCCGCGTGGGGACAGGATGTGGTGGAGTGCACAGCTGAGAGGTTGCAGGGGCCCTGGGGCAGAGGAGAGGGCGGCGGGAAGAAGGGAGAGAAAATCCCAAAGGCCCGGAAGGCTGGGAGGGAGGCAGGGCCCGGGCTGGAAACCGCGGCTATTTGCAGCGTTGCCCTCGGGCTGCGGTGGGGCTGGCGCTCGCTGCCCTGGCGTTGGAGCCCGCCGCCCCGCCCGGTGCCCTCGGCCACCCGGGCACGGCCCTGGACGGCGCTCCCCGCCTTGCCCGGTCCTCGCGGCCCCGGCGGCGGGTGGCTTGGGGCCCCGCAGCCAGGGCAGGGCGCGAGCCTCGGCTGGCTGAGGGTGGGCGCGAGTCGGGGTGCGACCCCGGTGGGTGGCGAGGTTGGTGGAGGCGGGGTGCGCCTCGGGAAGCACAGGGCACGCGGTGGGGGGGCGGTCTGCCCGCGGGGTGGGTCGCGGCAGTGGCGGGGCGCCCCGGGCGCCGGGTGGGCGCGCAGGATTGCTAAAAGCTGCGGTTTGGCTAGGACTGCGGACCTGAGAGGAGAAGGCGCAGGAAGGAGGGATCTTTTTTAAAAGCGGAGGGAGAACACTGAAGAGGGAAACACGAGGAGCCGAGGGCGGGATGTGGGCAGGAAGCTGACGTTTCCTGAGCGCCTACTCTGCCCGAAGTAGGTGGGATGGAAGATTGGCCTTTTCCCCGCGGGCGTAGGGAGGCTGTGCGCCTTGGAGGAGGCCGCCCAGCTATGAAGTGGCCGAGACGGGATTCGAACCTACTGTGCCTCCCACCCACGTGCTCTTTCAGCTTGACTGAGAAACGGAAACAGGAGCGAGAGGGGAGTGGTGGGGGCAGCACGGAGAAAGAAGGGGGAGTTGGGAGGGGACACAGGAGGGAGGGCACCAGTGAAGGGTCTCGGCTGCCTCTTGGGGACCTTTGGGGGGAAGGGGAAGGGGGCAGCTGTCTGGCTGACGCTACAAGGGCCCTGCTTGAGTCTTGCCTGCGCCCTCTCAGGACCCCCACGTGGAAGCTTCTCCCGAAGCCTGATCTTGCCTCCCAGAACTCGGAGTTGGCGGATCAAGGCGGAGTCAAGAGCTGGTGGTGGACTCAATGGCCAGTCCTTTAGGTAGAGAGGGGCAGGAGGGGCTGGGCCATCAGGGCGGGGGTGTGTGTGTGTGTGTGTGTGTGTGTGTGTGTGTG